TGTACTTTACCATACTCACATGTATTCATGTAATTAGAGTAGCCCCACTTGATCGTGTTTATTTTTGCTCTTCCAGTTTGCGTGTGCAGGTAGTTCAGGCATCTCCATGTTGACCAGTCTGTATCAGCCCCTCTGATAAAGTCTTTCTGGGGTTCCAGATCCATTTCAAGGCCTCTGGTTGCATGTAATCTTTCCTTCCATAACCTCAGTCACACCCTGTAGCTCTTGTGTCCAAGGGCACAACACTGGTCACAAAACTTTTTTTTTGCATTTGAAGCCATTTAGTTATTTCTGTGTGACCATAGAGTGGATGCCTTGTGTCTTCTATCTACTGTGATCTTTCTTTTTGGCTCTCTCTCTTTCTTCTGATAACAGGTGGTGTAGAAACTACAGGCTGTCCATTGGTATTGGCATCCTGTTATTTCACAACATCTGTTGTTTATAACTGCGCCTAGTTTCTTGGCATGAACTGATCATTCCCATACTGGACATGCATACTGGACAGTGGAGTAACACAAGGCAATGGCAGTGGTTCATAATGGAACTGGGTTTGCTCTCCATGTTGAGGTGGCCAACTTCCATAGAATATCGTTACAGGCACTAACTTTCCCTTTCATCTTCTCTACATGTGCTTTGAAGGAAAGCTTTCAGTTCAGTGAAAACCCCAAGTACACAGATTTGGCTGATTAATCTGTACGAGTCCAACCCAGATGATGTTTAATTTCTGTTTGGCTTCTCTATGATGAAAGTGAAAGGCTGTGCCCTGTGTCTTTGTTGGGTTGGTACAAAACTGGTTCTTATTGTAATAATCTGAGAGGATACACAGTGGACATGTGAGTCTGTTCTCAAAAGTGGCAAAGTCCTTCTCTTGTGATGTGATGCATAGATCTTCAGCATATATGAAGCTTCTCATATTGCTCTGTATAGGTTGATCACTGGTATACATATTAACAAGGATGGGTGCCAGCACACTCCTGTGGGAGGCCATTTCATTGTCATCTCCAGCAGCTCTTTCTTACACAGTTCTACATAAAAACAATTATTCTCCAAAAGAGAATGAATGAGCTGCACTAGGTGGTAGTTTTATGTCATATCATAGACTTTGGCAAGTAGGCTTTGTTGGTTGACAGTGTCATATGCCGCTGATAAGTCTACAAACACAACACCTGTTATCTCTTTCTCGAGTCCATCTTCTATATGCTGAGTGATGTTTAGTATTTATCTACTGCAGGACTTGCCTGGTCTGGATCTGATTTGTTCAGATATTAGATGTTGTTTGAGATGAAGTAAGAGGTAATTGAAAATAAGGCATTTATAAAGATGGCACAAGAGTGACACTGGCCTGAAGTTCTCTGGATCAGAGACATCTTTTCCTGGCTTTAATATGGCTATTACACAGGTTTGTTGCCATAATTTTGGTATGCTAAGGGTTGATGAAAAATTGTTAAAAAGGTGTAATACCTATAACTTGGTGGCAGGATCAAAGTGCTTGATCTGCTCCATGCATATTTCAGGTCCAGCTACTTCGCCATTCTTCAAGTGACTTATTCTGACATTGAGTTCAGCCATTGTGTATGGCATGCTAAAATGATTTTCCTCCATATCAGTTTGCCATCTAATCCATATTTTACGCTGTTTATTCAGAGCTTTGCCATTGAGCAGAAGCTGATGAAGAACCTTGTTGCTTATGCTGTTGTGATATTGCTGTACTTTCTTCAGGTCATTACTCAGCTTACAAGTGGTTGACCATGCTTTCCTATTATTGTGGGTCTTAACTAAGTGTACATGGAACATATGGTATAGTAGGAACAAAAACATGTTGTTTAGATATGATGGTGATGGGCACATTAGATATTCCAAGACAGATGGTGGTTGTGCCCATATTACTAATAACACACAATCATTAACTCCTGGTTTGAAAATAGATCTTTTGATTATCAGGGTGTGTGGGCTGGGGCAGGATTCTGCTGCAGAGAATTCTGTTACAGAAGAGGTCCTAATACTACAATCCTTATAAGAGCAAATATGTCATTATTAAGGACCTACCAAATTCCCAATTTAGTGGATTTTGCAGATTTTGTGAATTCTGAGCAATGTGAGCAAAATCCATGGGGGGGGGGAAAAAAACTTAGTGCTGCGACAGCTCACCGGGAGGGGAATGGGGGGGGGGGGGGGAGGAGCCCCCAGAAGGGCCCACAAGATAGATAGCTACCACCCCTGCCCCTCACTGCTGATTGGCTGTGAGAGCTGCCTGCCATATGGCCCTGCCCCCTCTATGAGTCAGCAGTGCGGGGTGGAGCTGCATGACAGACACCCCTTGCAGCCAATTAGAGATGAGGGCCAGGGCCACCCAGACCCCTCACCAATCAGACATGAGGCCTGCGTTCTCCCTACAAAATTGTGGGGCAATTCCCATGAATTAGGTAGGCTCCTAGTCATTAGTGATTATTAGGATGTTTGCAGGGGAAGCAGTGCCAAAGAACCAATCAATGAATATTTTCTGTAGATACTCAGATGGTATTGGTTCACGTATTTTATGTTTCACAGAATTATGTACAGAAATGTTATATTGTACAACTATTTCAATTGTAATTCTTAAGCCTTTTGTAAACTGACTTTCAAAAACAAACACGCAATACAGGGTGCTAATACCATATTTACTCCAATACAAGATGAATATTTTTCCTCAGACTTGGGAAGAGAAAAGCCTCTTCTTAGAGTCAAGTATCAGTCTGGGGCAGGCAGCAACTCATTTCTGGCTTTGGGAGCAGACAGCAGGAAGGAACAGGGGGTGCGGGTGGGGGTGAGGGCATAAGGGGCAAGGGGTGGAGGGGAGGTGGTAGGGATAGTACAGGGTGAGGATAGGCACAAATAGAGGGGCAAATGGAGGCAGGCACTCAGGGCAGGTGGCAGGGTCCGGGCACAGGTACAGAGTGGGGGGAGGGATGGCAGGCAGCAGGGGGCAACTTAGCAGGGGCAGGAGGGTAAAGGGGAAGGTTTCAGGCATTAGGAGGGCAACATGTCATCAGCAAATGGTGGTGGGGCAGGCACCAGGGGAGCAAGGAAAGGGGAGTCCAGCGGGGAGGACAAGGGGTGGCAGGGGGTCTGACCCCTCACCATCCCCATCCCTACCACTGCTTTCCCATCAGAGCAGTGGGGAGACAAATTTAAGATTACCTCGTACTCACTAGATTGTATACATGGACAATTGTAACATATATAATTTTCTACTTATAGAATCTAATTATTGGGGGATCACTTTAAATTCAAAGTTGTTTTGGATTTGGATATATATGGTATTATGTGTGTGCATTTATTATGTAAAATACATAATTCTCTGGCACAGTGGCACTCTACAATAAAAGTAAGAGGCATTTGTATGGTAGACAGGGCTTTCAGGCTCCTAAGGCAAGCTTTAAGTGATGGAATGGGCTTCTCAGCTGGTAAGGTCCACAAATGTCATCAACTCGTGCTGTAAGAGGTGTTCACTTTAACCTGGCCTTTTCTAATATAAAAACATAGCAACATGTATACTTAAAACAAATAAAGAACCTTTCCAAAACAAACCACTCCACTGCACATACTTCTTTCATCAGCAGCATAATAGGCTGTAAAGTGGGAATTAATTACATTTATGGCCATTTTAGGGCCCATTTACATCACCAGATAAGGGGCTTTTGAATAAATGAAAATCAGCCCCTTGTGTGAGAGCTCTAATCAATTTAAACCCTCAGAAAACAGGCTGTTCTTCCACTCACCAATGCTTGTTTTTTCTACAAAAGCTGTTGAATAGGATGGAACTTATTGTTTGTTCTCATAAAAATGTTCTTGTACTTAACCTTTTTTATGTCTATTTTTGTGCTTTATTTCCACAGACTAAAACGGGTATTGCATTGTTATATGATGATGGATCTGAAAATGCCTATGACATCCGACTTAAGCTTACCAAAGAGGTACTAACAATTCAAAAACAAGATGTCATCTGTATTAGTGGAAGTGATTGCAGTGCAAATGTAAGTGCTTCTGTATTTATGTGCTTCCCAACTCTGTATTATATTTCATAGTAATCATAATATGAGGTTATCAGAATGTGAATTTTTTTGTCATAAAGCCCATATATAAGGAATGAACCATATTCATTTACCTTACAATGTACAAAGATATACACACACACACACACACACACACACACACACACACACACACACACACACACACACAGGGGCTGATCCAGGGGATGGGGAGGGGAAAGAAGGGCGGATGGCAATGGTACAGTTGCACCCAGCTTGATTCCTGATCCACCCAAACTTTAAAAAGAGCTGCCTGGGAGAGGCAGCAGTATTTCTTTCTAGGCAGTGCTGAGGGAGTCAATTGTCTTCAGGGCTTACTTTAATATATCTGGTTCCTGCTAATCTCAGGTGCTAATGACCCTTTCTCCTTTTTAATGATCTTTATGTATCATTAACTTATCCTTTATTCTGCAATTTTGGTGTCTGTTAGCCATTCCTAGTAGTATCTCTCTTCTGTTTCACAGCCCAAAAGATTTTTTTCAGTCCTAGCTAAAAACTAACTCAGGTGTGGTAACATTAACGCAGGTAAACGTTAGCGAATTTGGGTATATCCTGTAAGTTTGTAATACTCTATGAAGGATTAATAAAAAAATACATACCTAAACTATATTTACATAGCTTTTTCATTTCTGCCACAGTTAATATTTATAATCCTCTTTGTTCAATGCCATTCAAAAATAACCCAATACAAGTTTTTAGTATAAATTAGAAATGTTAATTAATGGCTTGAGAATATTGTTTATAGAGGAATTCAGTGGGACATGACCTGCTTTTTAAAATGTGAGAGAGTGTGCTATATCTTGTGATATGTTGAGGACCTCAGTGTCATTTTCTAGTTGGGAGATGGAAACAAATGCCTTAGGCAAAATTATCAGTTTGTGTAGACCTTCCATTTCACTGAGAGGCACAATATATAAATCTCTGACTGAGGAATGTTGCATCATCTGCTGGTAGTACCAATAAATTACATGTAAGCTGTGGTCACAATAAAATAAAATATATGATGTTTGTCTGCATAAACTTTTATGATGTGCCTGTCTCAATAACTTCTTATATGCAAATTATGAAAGGAAAGGGAACCCTTTCCCATTTCCTCATTTTTTTTCTTGTCTCTTTGTTTGTCTGTCTGTCTTTTGATTGAATCAATTCCTGGGTGTTATGTTCTAGATAGGAATATGTTGAACCACTCTCTGAACTGATTATTTGGATGGTGTGTATACAAAAATATGTTTTGCATCACTCTCTCAGTGCCTAGATTTGGTTTCATCCTGAATTTTTTGATGGAATTCAATATCACATTCAGAGGGCACACTATCACATTCAGAGGGCACACTATTACCTTTTTCTGCTTTGAGGGTACTGTGTGAGGTTCAGATAGAAAGATGATTTAAAGATCAAATTTAAAGATAAGAACCAAGGACTTGAAACAGATTTGGGAAAGAAGAGTCACTGTGGAGGTAAAATAGATGTGGTGTAGGTCAGAGTACTTTCATGGCCAGACCTAGTAGAACGGCTGGTAAGCCTGGAGGTGAGCAAGGCCCTTGTGTGCCCATCAGAGAGCTACTCCTATTTCTGGAAGCTGACATGTTGTTGCAGCTCTGAAGGACCTGGAGCTATCAGAAGCAATTCAGGTGGCAATTTGGTTTTGACTGGTAAAACTATACTTAGGTTAAAGCTCAGAAGATCTTAGATAACATGTTTCTTTTTACCATCAACTGAGATAGCTGGGAAGATCAGCTGACAATGCTAAATTGAAATTTCAGGTGTTGGTACGGAAGGAATTCCCCAGAGATGTCCCACAACACACCTGCTGCTGCTTGGACAAAGAGAGTCTGTAATTTTTTAATCCTTGGCCCAGATTACTAGGCTTGTCTATTTGAATGAAGCTTTCTCTAAGGAAGTAGCTAGAGCTGAGTTTGTTCCTTTATTTCCTTGGTGGGTTAGATTATTATTGTTCAGTGTTTTCTTTACATTGCTTTAATTGGATTTAATGTTTTCAATGCATTTAACAGCTGCATATTTCAGTGGTCTAGGGTCCTAGATATATTTTTGAAATAGACAAGCTATAAGTGAAAAAAGTTCTGAACATGCTATTCTATGATAGTTGGTTGCCTATTCCAACATTATTTTTCTGATGTTCAGCAGATGATCAGACACAGAAATCTAAATTGTAATACTCACATCAATTGCATTTCGATTGTCATTGCAAGGTATTGTGAGAATTCTTTCAAAAGGGACCCATCTTCCATCCATACAGGTTTCTTTTGCCAGTCCACACAGTATCAAAGTATGCTATGACCTTAAATTAAATAGATTACTTAATGTGGGTTCTTTACATTACATTTCGACATCCCTATAGAAAATCAATGAACTCTGGTGAGAAAAAAAACAGAATAAAAACATTCTTTCTTAAACTGGGATAGTAAAGGCAGTATCTGAAAAGCAAATATTATTGCGTAAACCCTTTCAACTTCTAGAACTCGGGAGAAATTATAGGACTCTCAAGATTAAAAAGACTACAAATTTAAGTACAAAGAGGAATGAAAATTTTCATTGAGTATAAACTATTAGTAAAATAGGTACAGACAGTTAACCTGAAATTAGGCTGAAAAAATAAGATGGCATTTTGGCAACTTGTATGACAATTTTGATGTTTTCTACAAGCTGCTATCTAAGAAAAGATGAATGTTAGACACAACAGAATGGCAAAGAATTGGACCTGTCTCTTCCTGTAGCATTCATATATGCATATACAATTATACACACACACACACACACACACACACACACACACACACACACACACAGATATTTATATATATGGGCACTTTAAAGATGATTTTATAACCAGCCTAGGCAACTTATTATCTTAAAGTTTTTATCTTTTTCAACTTTTGTCCCAAACCTAAACTTTGTATGCTGTTACTCATAATTAATCTGTACTTTTATGTCTAGGTACTCCTACACCCCCTTCACCACAGTGTATCCCGAGTTCAGAAAAAATATTGATTGCTTACTTTTTTTTTTCTGTTTTCCCTTCCAAGCATGAAGAGTTTAATTCCTGATTATGGGTTTTGAATTTGCTGTTTACATTTGGATGAGCATGTGAAAAAACAGTGTAAGAAGTTAGTCAACTTTCCTGGTGATCTAAAAGATAACAGTAGCCAGCAGAAAGTGTTTTTAAAGTCACTGCTCAAGTTGAGCTTTACTTCTTACTCAGTTTCCAAGGACAGTGTCAACAGAGGAGTAAAGGTAGAGTGTCTGTTCATTGATCAAGGAAGTGGTGCTCAATCCCTGACCCTCAGAACAGACGTGACCTGCAGAGTTGTATTATCCATCCCGTGGGTCAGGAATTTTGATGAGGGAGTAGTAGCAGCATTAATTGCTTCTCCCCTGCTGGCAAACTTCCAGATCTGTGGGAAACCCTGCAGGCTGGACAGTGTGGCCCCATATACCAGATTGTGCCAACACACCAGATCACACCAATAGACTGACCCCACTTATAGGTCCTGCTGGTGGACAGGCTCTGCACCATTCATTTGGTCTGTGGGAGCATATAGGTTGAGTATCACTACTGTAGAGCAGGGGACAGCAAACGGTTCAAGTCATGGGGCAAAACAACCCAGCTTCAGTCTGAGACAGGCCGGGAGGCTTCAGCAGCTTGATGAGCCTGCTGGGATGTGAGCATAGCTTCCAGCTGGCGGGGAGCTGCACTGGGGCCAGGCAGCTGGAGCCATGTTCATGCTGCCACCACCACTGAACCAGTCAACAGGCTGTAGGTTGTTGACCCCTGCTCTGGAGAGAATACATGCATAGGAGAGACAAGAATGTATCCCCAGAAAGGTCTAGACAGAGACTAAGATAGCTATTGGCCCAGTCTAAGACTTTTCTGACATCTTTGATGGAAGTGTTTTTGTTCGAAAAAAGAAAGAAAAAAGAAAGAAAAGTAAAAATATTAAAAGAACAAGTAATTAAATGTTCCTCTGTGGCTATGTAAATAGCAACACCTGGTTAAAAGAAAGTTCTGCCTTCTGATACTCAGACATCCAAAAAGAAGGGGGAAAACTACATCATTTAACCCTCTGTTGTTTAGTTTTCCCTATGTCTGAGGAGTTGATTTAGACATCCAAGAAACAGAAATCAAATAATACCTTAGGGCATGTTTTTACATATCTTAGCTTATTACTGCTGTCAGTTTTTGAAAATGGTTCACCAAAGTTTGGACCACCAAAAAATAACATTTATTGCTTATAAATAACATTGTTATTTCAGCTTTAAGCAGTTGTATGAGCAGTAGGGAATGTAATTGAGCTTCCCTCCAGCTCCAGCTCAGGCAGTGGGAAGGTCTGAAGAGTGGTGGCGGAGTGGTGGAGCAGAAGCAGGAGGCAGTGGTTTGCTGCAGCTTGGGCAGATAGCAACAAAATGAGGGAACATCTCCCCACAGCAATAGTAAATCTCTAGCTCCAGTCTTGGCTTCTATGCTACTGCTACTGCACTGTCCACCCCACTGCAGGAGCCGTAACAGCCACAAAGAAGATGCGGAGGTGGGGCAGGGAGATAAAGGAAGGGAGGGCAAAGTGCCTCCATTGGTCCATTCTGCCCCTTCCTGCCCTTTAGGCAGTACCCAGTGTTCATGTCCTGATCACCCACCCATCCTTACGCTACTGGTACCATGAAAGTTTGTCAAGGTTATAAAGTACAATAATATAATTTAGATAGGTGGTGATGTTGAGGATCAAACTTCCAAAAAGTACAACAGAAAGACCAAGCCATTTGGTATTCCAGTATAAAGAGGTCACTCATGGATTTCACTTTGTATCATTGTGTTTCATCTTCAAACTCTCCAGAGCGTAATACAACTCAGTAACCCATGTTTTTTATTGCATGCCACTCTATAACAGTTCAATATTAACTGTAAAACATGTTACAGGATGTTTTCTCCA